GAGTCGGAGTCGTAGTCGATGTTGATGCTTGTGTCTTCATCAACTCAGCCATTTGAGTAGCAAATTCTGTGAAGGTAGGTTAATAAGGAGTAGCCGGATCGGTGGTGCTACTTTCAGTGGGAAAGAAATCGTTTTCTCCCATGTTTGCAGCAACGATTCGAGACTAGAGTCAGCAAGATCGCTGCTCTGATACCATGTCAAATTAGGAAGAGATATTGAAGGTTGAGTAGAGATAATGGAGAGTGTAGAGAATTTGGGAGCTACGCATATTTTCTGATTTCAACTTGTGTTAATTCTATTACACATCAAAACATATATACATGTAATAACCCTAAAACATTCCATGAAACATTCCCTAAGACATTCCATGAAACATTCCCTAAAACAAGGATTACATTGTTCAAGAAAAGTATTCCCTAAAACAAGGAATGAGACAAGTGCCATGAGACAAGGGGTGTCTTGTGTTTCATGTCTTTGTGTTCCACAAAGGACAATCACACAAGAAGTCAATATTGCTAACAAGGACATCAGAGGTGAGAATGAACATGCTCTTTGAAATTTTCATATATGAACTTCTTTATATAGAGCACAAGAAGAACAACGAAACTTAACGCTTGCTTTTGATTCTTAATCCAGGTTTATTCTCAACCAGAAGAATATCCGGAATCATTCTTACAACTTAAGCTAGATGATTACACATGGCTTTCAAGAATATTGCAGCCAGCCCTTGTAAGAATGTGTCTCCAACTCACATTATTACAGACAGTGACATTCTCCTACAAATAATTCGAAGATTTTTCTAATAACTTCTTCGTAGTTTTGGACATTTATGTCCAAGACAAATGACACAAGTTACTAGTCTGTGACACACAGCAATGGTTTTGGGCAATTTGTCAAAAATCGTTTATGCTTGTGCAACTTATTGGTACAAAGAAAGACCAGCAAATGCAAATGGTTGAAATGCCATCCAGAACTCTCTACCCTTCTCCGAATGCAACGAGTCCAGACAAAGTAAAGACGTCTTTTCTCAGAAGCAGTTTTTTTGGAGACGTCACTTCCTCTTCCTCTTATCAGCACAAACTAGAGATATTTCTCAGATCAGTAGTCTTCTTCAACTAGTATATCTATCCTACAAATTGAAGAACACGCAACCTCCATATCAACCAATATCCATTCATGTCTTCACTGCAACCCATGGGAGATGCTCCGAGAAGAATCGGACTGCAGAGTGGCATCACAAGACAAGGTGAGAGAGAGAATCAAGCTGAAAGAATGAAACGTTTCTGACTTTCTCACAGCAATTAAATGACATCTGTTCTAATGAAACTTTGACTTTGAGGAGGCTAATTGATTTCTGTTTGCAGGTCGGGAAGCTGCAGCTCCTTGTATTGCTGTTCATACTGTTTTAAGCAGGCATGGAATGGGCAGCCGGCAGAAAATTGAAGGATTCTTTTATTTTCCTGGAAGCATCTCCTTCAAGCCATAAACCAAGTCCCCCCATGGTACAATATTTCAACACCGAGTTCTAGTTCTATAGCCTTACAGGCTTGCTTTTGTTCCAGTCACTATCAATTATTATAGAAGCGGCACTATACAGGAGGTTCTGCAACATGGCTGCTGGAGTCTCAGTTTATCTATTAGTTTAACCAGACACTGGTGTGATGTTATGGTTATTGATATAGAAGCTTTGAGCTCCATCCTTAATGGAGTAGTAGTTACTAGTTACCGCCGTTTCGAAAATGTACAATTATTTTTGTATCTTGAAGGACTTAAAACCTATCAATGACCTATATCAGTCTGAAACGTCCCACCCTTTACCACCAAAAATTGTATCCTTGTAAATATTGCTTTTGTTATTATATCCTTGTGAATGTTGTTTATTTCCA